AAGCATTAGGTCACTCTGACATCCCCCATCCCACTTCTACACTTTTTTGAAACTAAAATTACTTCTTCAGAACGTACCTGGAAAAATATTCAGCCCTCAACTCCACTTGGGTGCAAAACAATGTAATTGAGTTTTAAAATACTTGTTTGGCTTTCCCTAGTCAGGCTCTTGTGAACAAACAGGGTATCCGGATAACAACTCTTATGCCTAAGATAGATATCACACACAGCGATCCATCCTTGGATAGACTGTGGAGAGCTACGTCTTCACCCAGAAGAAAAACTTGGCCTCATTAAAAATAGTATGGTATAACAGAATGACATCTGCAGCCCATTGGGCAATTTGACAGGTAGAACTAGCTGCTGTACTTCACAGAAGACAAAACAATTAGAAAAAATAATCTACATTTCTTGTGGACTTGCTGTGCCTGCTTTTGGGGCAGAGGAATAGCTGTATGGGTCTCTGTACAGATGCCACTCAGATGCACCCTTGCATCTATACATACTAAGGAAGGTATTTTTCTTCATATAAAGTCTGTGTTACACGGACTATAGCTAAGGCACTCAGCAGATTAAAGTAGTTCAAAGTAGCAGCTGGAGACAGCACAAGTGACTAGATTCTCCCTCTCCCCTTCACATCCTACCCTCTTCAAATAAAGGAGAAGCACAATCTCATGATCACACCATCTACAGCCAGGTATGGTGATAGCAATAAAGTTCGCAAAAGGAAACAGGGAAAGAAACTAAGTGATTAACCACTCTCAAAGGACAAACAGCTTTCACTGGTGAAAAAGAACGAGGGACAACGTTCCTTAGCTAATTTTTTCAATACCTATCTTTGTAAAGTCTCAACAATCCTTACCTCAGAGACCAGGACAGCAACCATGTCATTATAACGAAAACCTAGCTCGTGCTTTGATACTATATATTGAAATATATTGAAGAACTTCAGGGACAGCACCAACCGGAGAAGAGAATGTGTTATGGAGATACTGACAAAAATTATGTTAAAATTATTTAATTTACATCTTCTAAAATAGTCTGTTAGAAATGTGAGAAGAAAATATGGTTCCTTTTATTATTTCTCACTGGTTGGCCAAGTGCGATCCTCCTGCCTCTTCCTCTTTCCGTCTCCCAACAATACTACACAACCCACAGACACCAGGACTGTGCAGAGTTTCAGGAACAATGTTCTTAGCTACTTTACACATGATGGTCTGCAAAAGTCCATCGTGCAGCTTTAAAACACTTTGAGATTTATTTTACCGATGGTCACCAAAAGATTAAAAAGAAAAAAACATTCAGGTAAAGCAATGACTACACGGATTTAAAATGGTAGTAGAGTGCTTAAGATCATATTCCCTATGGCTTCATAAAAAGCTGTTTGAAAAACGTTACTTTGTTTACACCATCTAGAATGTATTAACGAGGTTATCGTACTAGGCGATTCACCTCTTTCCAACTGGTACTTTGACATAACATTAGTCCTAAGAGTGAAGGAATAATTGGTTTTCTGAGTTTTGTCCTGTTTTATTTAAACCTCAGTCTTTAAATACAAGAAAGCACTAGGTCAAGACAACTTTTCAAATTACATCCCAAAAAAACCAAATCATTTCTATGACTCCTCCACTGGCTATCTGTTCTTTTTCACCTTGCAGTACCTCCAACTTTTTTCAAGAAATCACAAGACCATTATAAAAAGTGGTCTTCAAGTATAAACATTGACTTACAAATTCATAAAAGTGATAGTACTCACAAACTCAAACACAGCACTTTCATTGCTACTAGTCTTACAGGAATCTAAACTCTGGCTTGACTTCCCAAGACAAAGTTTCTCTCCAAGTCTTTTTTTCAACCACAGTAATTCAAAACCGTCACCCTTCTCTTTTTTTACTGTTAATTAAAACCCTTGTAGATCCTACACACTGTTTTGATTTTAATCACTGCAATATACCTAATATTCCCACCCAAGTTAATCGGAAATGGAAAAAGATTTTCCTCAGCCGTTGAGCCAAAAATATCACCCTACTACTTGAAAAACTCCACGAATCTCTTCCTGACAATATAAAAATTGGCTTTCTAATTCTCATTTTCAACTTCTGACAAAGAACTTACACTCTCAAATATCTGGCCATGTCTATGTTCTCCCATTCCACTGTCTCCACTAAACAAATGACACCTGCCTCAACACGCTTTTCTGTCTGTGCACTTAGGTACGCCTTGTGCTGGCTCTTCCTTCTGTGCTGCCTTCCTACCCCAGCCACAGACAGAACACCTTCAGCTGAGAGCTCTGAATGGAGACAATGGATAGGAGGTCTACTCCTCAGTCGTTCAGTCTTCCAAACCATGGCTTCATGCAAGCATTTTCTCCCGTTTGTACCTTCCTTTCTTCTTACATATCTTTAATAATATCCTCAGAGCATGGTCAATTTTTAAAATTGATTTATGCTAAGCACAATGATATATTCCTTACAAACCAGTTTTCAAATCTCATTTGTAAAGTGCTATGTCAATTCTAAGTCTCCTATTGTGAAAAAAAATCCAATATTAATGCCATGTGTTTTAATAGAACTTTCTGTTCTAAACAGGACTGAAATTACGGTCTTAGCTCAGAGAGGAAAAGACAACACAAATTCTAACATTGTCCTTTGTTGGCTAATTAACTGAACTTCATTTAGATCAGGAGAAAACTTATTTAGCTAGTGCATAACATTTGTTGAGAATAGGAAGAAAAATAAATAAATTATTACCAACATTTTGCAAAGGGGTAGGATATGAATGTTGAACTTGGACCCATATTACCAAAATAATCTTGGTAACATATGGATTAAAACAATTACTGAATCAGTTTCAAGTAATGCTCCAAGTACAGCATGTACTCCAAATAATGCTGTCTATATAGAGGGTCAAAACAAAATCATTATTTATAAAGCTGGTGGCTTCTGATTTTAATGAGAAAGGGATTTGATGTGAGTAGGTGGGAAGATACTATTTTTGTGACGACATTGTTTTCTTACTATTATTGTTTACCTTCAATTCTGTATCCATGGCAAAATTTTTCACAATTGAGATCACACACGCACAGAAATACACCAAAACCAAGACTATTCAGATAATCTATAAACGTTTTAGTGAAACAACCTAGCTAGTGAAACTCTAGCTCAAACACCTTTAGATGACAGTCCGTCTCTGTGCGTGATGCGCATAAAAAGAAAGCACTAGCAATCACCACTTCATTTTCTCCAAACCCAAGGATTAATATAAACCATACATAGGGCTAAAAGCAATCCTGGCCAAATGTTGTTGAATACGTAATCCCACTCAGCGTTCAAATTGCTGTGTATTTGCCTGTGTTTCAGCACAGTGTTTCTAGGAGGTGCCCCCACAACTGCAGTGTTTACCCTGAGAAGGAAGCCCAGTCTCTCAGAACAGTCTCCCCACACTCTAATAGCTTTATTTAAGAATGATGCATTACATAGATATGATATACCACTGGTATACCTTCAACTCAGCATTTAGCTCCCTCCTTGAGCACAAACAATGCCAACTCATTATTCTAATGAGTAAGCCTGAGAGGGGCACTAAGAAAATCACAAATACTAGTCCTGTTCAGTTGCACAGCCTCCTGTGACCACCCATACTGCTACGGACAGGCTGAGACAGTTGGGGTTGTTCAGCCCAGAGAAGAGAAGGCTCCGGGGGGACCTTAGAGCAGCTTCCAGCCCTTAAAGGGGGCTACAGGAGAGATGGGGAGAGACTTTTTACAAGGACATGTAGTGACAGGACGAGGGGTAATGGATTTAAATTGGAAGAGGGCAGATCTAGATGATTAGATATGTGGAAGAATTTTTTCAGTGTGAGGGTGGTGAGGCAGTGGCCCAGGTTGCCCAGAGAAGCTGTGGATGCCCCATCCCTGGAGGGGTTCAAGGCCAGGCTGGATGAGGCTTTGGGCAACCTGGGCTAGTGGAGGGTGTCCCTGCCCATGGCAGGGGAGTGGAACTAGATGATCTTTAAGGTCCCTTCCAACCCAAACCATTCTATGATTCTATGATTAGCTCTCTGGTGGCTCATAGCTAATGATACTCATGGATGAAGTTTAACACTGTATTTACGCTGATAAAAGAACTAGCCTTCTTTCCTTGGTATGGCAGAGAAGCAGAACCCCTTCCCACACCTCAAAACATTATTTTACAGTCTCAGACACACACAGAGATTAACATCAGGTACCAGATTGCTCCAGGCACTTATGCAGTGCTGTAAATTAAGGAAGCAGAAATATATAAAATCAAGTGGCCAATGTTTCTTATATTTGAAGCCACATACCCAAACCCTAATGCGACTGAGTTACAAAAGCACTCCAGAGACAAGGGACAGCTGGGAGAGGGGAAGGAACTGAGCTCCAGAAGTAGTTCATAGACAGAGGTAGGAATGGCTGGATGGACCAGTGGAGAGCATACAGCTGGGTGACCTGCAATGCCAGCCTTGGGAGTCTCCATTGCCCCGTACCTCTCCTGGTTGCCAGAACAGCCTGCACACAGCAGCGCTCCATTGACTCAGGCATCGTAGTGACTGGCTTCAACACGACAGGCTGACTGCTGAAGCTACTTGGAATGACTCACAAGCAGCACAGCTATCACAGACACTTTCAAAATACCAGTTAGTGTTCTAATAATTCTGGACTTGAAAAACGTCTTATGTTACTTGACCTGAAAACACTAACCATAATTTTCTGACAAGAATTAATGTAACATTCACATCAAAGAGAAACAATCCAGACAAATAATAAACATAGGAGCAATACAGAAATTTCTTTTTTTTCCTCCTTCCTCTTGTTCCACCAAACTGGACAGTGAAGTATTCCTCATTAATCTATCAGGGCAAAGCTACTTTCCATAGGCACGCTACTGCTCCTTCTGATTCTTACTTGACTGCACACCACCACACCTTGTCAATCAGAACTCACATGACTTTTTTTGTTTGTTTGTTTTTAAGAAAACCTACCTCTGTAGTGGTCCCAATGTCAGCAGATGGGCTGTATGTGCTGGTATCTGGTAGAGCCGTACCAACACTACTTTTAACTGGAGAGCTAGGAGGAGCAGGTCCTGTCATGGTTTCAGTATAGAGAGAAGATTGATATAAAATTCCTTTTCTCTGAATTTTATTCCAAACTTTACTTGTGATCTCAGCCAGTTCATACAAAAGCTGCACCTAAAAGAAAAAAACCTTTAAGATTAAGCTTTCCTTAATCAGGTGAAGGAAAATCAAAGTCCTCCACTGAGACTTAGAATGTGTCGAAACTGAAATTCTCACCATTTGTAATGTTCTGATAAGCATTCCAATTAAAATAATTAACATCAGTTACAGTATAGGGATTTTGATAAAAGTACTCTGTGCTTTGTCTACATATGTTATGTAGCTCATAAAAATATGACCAATAACATGGTCTTGTAAAACTTTTATTAACATTAATTTTCACAATTAAATAAAGGTGATTTATGGTGCATTTCATATGTATAGATACTGCCTCTAGAAAAAGGCAAACATATAAACTTTATGAAATACTAACAATGCAAAAATCATTCATTTAAATCGTACTAAAGTAGCGATCCCACACAGCACATGCAACTGTTCTAAGTTTCAGGAAGAATATCCACTATCAAACTCAGTAGTGTCCTAGCATATGTCATTGCAATACTCAGAAACACACTGGTTAACTTGCACATTGTTTGACTCAGTTCTAAGATATTTACACAAGTTTTTGTAAATAAGCATTAATCACAGAATTTGTATGACAACACCCTGCAATATACTGTATAAAACAAGCTCAGAGAAAACTGCAAACAATATATAAGCAGATCCACAGCTGGATACCATACCCAACTTGCCATTATAAAAAATGGAAATTCTCATATTTATAAGAACTTTAAGCCTCAGGACACATCTACTCTATGAAGCTGGCTTCTTATGTGGGCAGAACAGATGCAGAAAAACACTGTTGTCAATCTACATTTGATACTAACCAGTACTTGATTTTGAATGTGTGATGAAGTCTCAGAGTACACGCTACAGTCCTTTCTTAAGAGGTGAAGTCCTGGAGTTTTAAAAAAACCTTCTTAATTCATGTTAGATTTTCTTTTGAAGTTTCAAGGCTTACACTGAGGAGGTCATATACTCTTTTGACATAATTTTTCTTTAAAGGATATAAAATTCTCAGTACTTTTTTTTTGTCTTCATATACAGAGCAATCTACAGACAAAGAATAAAGGTGGCTGTGGCAAAAAAGTTTAGTAAAGCTTTAAAATATTTTGTGTCTGTAGCACTGATATGCACTGGCAACCTTTAAATTACTAATCACAAACTTCAAACTTTTCCTGACTCTTTTCCACATAACGCAAGAAGATCAACTAGTAATGTCCATCTCATTGATTGAATAATATACCATTAACTAGTGTTGACACTTTGCTGGCAAAAGAGTCTCTAGAAAATTAATAAGATACAGGCACATACCCAAATCATACATGCTTGCAACCTCCCCTCCTTCAAAATATTTTTTTGATCAAGAAGTCAAAGGATAATTTAAGTAATTAAGCAGGGCTTCCAGAAATTTAATTATGCTACTGTTCATAAATCCACAAAATAACACAAAAGAAGGAACTTCTGTGTTTACATACATGTTCAGACACGAGGTGAAGAGGTTTGTCACCAGCCAAGCCAACACTGAAGAGTTTCAATTGCATTGGGGTTGCAACAGCCATAATAACTAAAGCTAATGATTACTTATGTTATCAGGGAGATTCTTACAAATTGCTCAGGCTAGAGTCTTTGCAGCCGCTCTGAAACAGGGGCTCAGTCAGACAGCAGTAACCATCTCTCTGCACATCGCCAGCAACTAGACAGCCAAGCAGCACGACCCTAAGACGCTATCCTGCTCTGAAACCAGAGACAAAACAACCTCACCAAGAAAAAAGGCACACTTTGAGTAGAGGGAGACGATTTTTGTGGAGACATGTTAAAAAGCCTCACACCAAAACCTCATTAAAACAAAAAAAACAGGCACATGTCTACATGTAGATAAAATTTTAAAACTTCAGATAAAGTGATGAAGCTATGTCTTTGATTATTTTTAATACACTTCATTTTATTCCATGGGTTGTTACTCACTAAAAAAATGGAAGGATTTCTCCTTCTCTTGTTGGTTGCACTTTTTCAAGTGAGTAGTCTGAATATTCTGATTATATTAGATGAGCTAAAGTCAGTGCAAGGCCTTTCTCCTTTATAAGTAATTTTAACAGTTAATAGATAATAATTATTTCTAGTACACTCTATTGAAGAGAAGAAAAATGGTAGGACAAAAATAGAAATAACTCTGCCAGTATTTGTTAAGAAAAGTTTCCCTCTCTCCCTGCTTCTACTCCCTCCCCGGCAAAACCAAATAAGACCCCACTGACTCCTTGGCAAAATCTGTGAAGTTCAATATGTTACAGCATTTTATACTTAAAAAATAACACATCACTACAAAATTGAAAACTACAACAAAATCCAATATCCAGGCAATTTTGCACACTGGAAGTATCTATTGACTTTAAACCATCAGAACATGGTTTCATATTAAATCATAACAGTCATATAGTAAAATACTTCACCTTTGCTACCATTTAACAAATTCACTAAGTATCACCTACTTTAAGGCTGTCATTTACAGACAAAATACAGCCTGTCATCCCAAAGAATCAAATTGCATAGTTACTCTACTGTGAATTTATAACTACCAAATGCTGTTTATGTAATTGTAATTTCCATTTTTTCTTCTTGAACATCTGGTTAAAGAAGATTGATTTTTTTTTTTCTCCTTTCGCATAAGTAAAGCAGAAAGGACAAGTAAGGCAGATACATAAAGGGGAGAAAGCATAGCTCAAGAACCTTCACTTAGCTCAAATAATTTGCCCATGTCCTTTCGGTTATTCTAATACTTCAGTAATTGATTAACATCACAGAGTATAAGGCCATCCTTTAAGACAACAATATTTGGTCTGACATCCCACTGCAGAACTTCATTTTAACATTTCACTATACTCGTAATATGATTTACATGGAGCTCACAACTTAAATTTTTTAGTGTAAATATTTTCTTACAATTTGCAAAACAGATTATTTGATCACACTTTGGTAGGAAAGCTTGAAAATATGTTTGGCTTACTCCATTTTTCTTTCTGATTTGCAACTCAAATTTACATAAGGCTTCCACTTATAACAATGCCATTCCACTAACAAATTAGTACTACTAATGTGTTACATATATTAATGATGAATAATACATTTGAAGATTTTAAAAAAATCAAGAGTTTATGAGACAATTTGCTGGAATTTCACTAACAGTGTACTGATCAAACATAGCAAACTATTTTGCTATATAACATCTCACAATATTTCCCAGTTCTCTGAAGAGCCACAATATCAAGACGAATTTTGTACAATTCTATGAAAATTAATAGAGAATAAGGCAGGTTTCTGTAGACTCTGAAATTATCACATATGAATTCATTAAGCATTACAGAAATACCATCAAGTTGCAAAGTAAAGCTTTCAGAACTCTTTAAATATAAAATGTAAAATTGCCAGCAAAATCATAATTTTGTCCTTTCCCGTTTACACATTTATAACACAATGACAACCCTTTATGTGTGCAAACACACCTGCCCTTCAGCTTTACAAGTCTGAGTAGACCTTGTTGAGGCTGCTCAATTTTGAATTTTAATTTGCCATGTCCAGTGCACAATCTCACTCTACCAACCCTCTTCCTAGTGAGAGTCCATCCAGCACAGAAGACAATGGCATAAGCAAATGAGTCAGAAATAACTTGGATGGAAGGCAGTCAAAGGGCCAGGAGACCACACATTGAGCATAAAATAAATACATATTTTAAAACACTTGTTTCATTCATAGAACATGGAATGAGGCAAGGGAAAAAAACTGCACGAGACTGAGAAATGTATTGTAATGACTACACACAAGGGATAACATTAAAATTACAGGAACCCCCTTAGCTTTAGTATTCCCAGACTTAGGCCATGGGTCCATAAATCTTCACAAACGTGATGTGCTGTCTATCGGACCAAAATTATAATACTTTGTGTTCTTTCCCTTTCTTTCTATTAAATGAAGCAATAAACAGTTCGTTTCATCCATTACGTCCTTTGAAAAATCCTACATGTGGCTAAAACTTTGGAGCAGATAGCATAAGAATGCAGAGCCCTACTCAGCCCTCAACAGATTCCCAGCTCCCAAGAACAGGAGTGTCCTCTCTAGCACCACCGGAAACATTGCAACTGTCAGGAAAGTGTTATTCAAGTTGCAGTAAAGATTACTTAAAATTTCACATAGGAAACCTACTCTATTTCGAACTACAGCAAACTTGATCCAGGTCAGTAAAATACAGGGTGCACTTCCTGCAAATCTAGCAACATCTTTGCCCTTTGTTTACACACATTCATCTGTTCTGGTTTTTTTCTTTTACTATACCATTGTTTGCCTAAAAACCATTTTATGTTCAAAGACATGTTAGTTCTATGAAAATATGGTAAAAAATTACTTAAACCACTTCAATATATGAATCCACAGTGACAGCAGAACAGGACTATAGTATTTAATGGTACATCTGCAATTCATTTCACTCCATCAGCCAAAAGATACATTTGTTCTGTAGCTATTACATTCTGAGGAGAGTTTAAATTACAAAACTTGAGAAAGCTTCAAAGCAAATCTTAATCTAAGCACCTTGATCTTGATGGCCCAGTTTAAAAAAAAAAAAAAAAAAAAAAACACCAAAAAACCATTAAGATAGAAGAGACCCTCTCCAACAAAATGCAGGACAATCGTACTTAAATTAAGTTATTTTTAATTTCCTTTCATAAATCAATTAAATGTACCAACCTGGGGGTTGGAGAATTTTATTTCAAGGGACTCAAGGTCGACATGGAGGCAGACAACAAATGAGTGTCTGGATTCTGGCCCCGAAGCAAGCAGTTTCTGTGAAGTAACAGCTAAAGTCGAAGTACAGCCCATTGGTTCCACTAAATTAAGTGTCATCTGGTGTCCAAGAAGAGTATATATACTGAAATGATGCAGACTAATGGTCCATGGAAACGCATCCCCTAATGATTAAAAAGAAGGGAAAACAATTAAATAATTGCATAATAAAAACTAGGCTATTATTTTTTCAAAACTCAGTAAGGCCTTATCCTAAGCCCCCCAGAAGTCAGCAAGTGCAATCAACATCGACTAAACTGAGCTCAAACTCTCACAAATATAATTCAACCATCAATTACTTTCTAGATGTCAAAATTTAAACAACAGCAATAAATTTTTTTCAGCTTCTTAAAAACTGAAATCCATTGGAAATTTCAACCCCAAACCATTAACAAATGTGTACAACATAGTCTCTAAAGAAGTCTTTTTACTTTATATGATTTTCCTCAAACTGAGGAGTATCTGGAAACCACTCCCCAGTTATTTCAGCATATGGATGGCAGAGGCAGTTCCTTACATTATACTTAAGCAGTTTATAGGTTTTAATGCTAAAAAGGAGAATTATCTTTCTTCAAAAAATTTACAGCTGGCATCTCGACAGAGTGGTGCCACAGAGTAAAGCCCATCCCAACGCACTGCTCAGTTAAGTCAGACCTTGATCACAGAGCAGCTCTTTCCGTTGCCTCCACTTAACTTCCTAGGAACAGAATAGTGATGGATCTTGTAAAAACAGATTACTACAGATATACACCGAGCACTTTATTTCTTATATTTAGCAGGGAGCCTACCCAGAGAAGTTCCTGGCAGCCTACCATGAATCATTATCAAAAATACTCAGTGAGGGAATTGGCAGTGCTCAGCTGAACAACAAAAATGGCTGCAGCAAGCTGCTCTCTTTAGATTGTCAATAGATGGGGAAAAAAAAAGTTTCCAAAGCAGGACCACAGAGAGAATTATTTGGGTGGGCCTTTAAAAGGCCAACAAGAACCCTCTTTAGTGAAAGAAAACCTGCAACACCTCTACCAGCTAGAGTTGAAAGGAACTGACCATAGAGATGATGGAAACTGAAGCAGAATCCTTGTGGGGGGTTGACCCTGGCTGGCCACCAGGTGCCCAGCAAAGCTGCTCTATCCCTCCCCTCCTCAGCTGGACAGGGGAGAGAAAATAGCATGAAAGGCTCGTGGGTCGAGATAAGGACAGGGAGATCACTCAGCAATTAGCATTATGGGCAAAACAGATTCAACTTGGGGAAATGAATTTATTGCCAGTTAACACCAGAGTAAGTATTGTGAGAAATAAAAACAAAACTAAAACCACCTCCCCGCCAACCCCTCCCTTCTTCCTGGGCTCAACTTCTCTCCCAAATTCTCTGTCTCCCCTCCCCTGAGTGGCACAGGGGGTGGGGAATGGAGGTTGTGGTCCGTTCATCACACATTATCTCTGCCACTCCTTCCTCCTCACGCTCCTCCCCGGCTCCAGCATGGGGTCCCTCCCATGGGAGATAGTCCTCCATGAACTTCTCCAACCCAGGCCCTTTCCCCAGGCTGCAGTTCTTCACCACCTGCTCAAGCGTGGGTCCCTTCCCCAGGGAGCACTCCTTCAGGAACGGACACAGGTTTCCCCCAGGGTCACAGGTCCTGCCAGAAAACCTGCTCCAGCCTGGGCTCCTCTCTCCAGGGGGTCCCAGTTCCTGCCAGGAGCCTGCTCCAGCACAGGCTCTCCATGGGGTCACAGCCTCCTCCAGGACTCATCCACCCGCTCTGGTGTGATGGGGTCCTCCATGAGCTGCAGGCAGATCTCTGCTCCCCCACAGACCTCCGTGGACTGCATGGAGACAACCTGCATCACCACAGCCTCCACCACGGGCTGCAGGGGGATCTTTGCTCTGGTGCCTGGAGCATCTCCTCCCCCTCTTTCTTCACTAACTCTGGTGTCTGCAGGGCTGTCTCTCTCACATATTCTCACTCCTCTCTCCCAGCTGCTGTCGCACAGGTTTTTTTACCCATTCACGACCTCTGTGAAGGGATCAGCCTTGGCCAGCGGCGGGTCCATCGTGGAACTGGCTCTGTCAGACACGGCGGAAGCTTCTGGCATCGTCTCTCAGAAGCCACCCCTGCAGTCCTCCCCGCTACCAAAACGTTGCCACGCAAACGCAATACAATCCCACATACTACCTGAAACAGACATGATTTTTTGCTCTTCAGAAGTACAAGAGCATAAAAATTATTTCAGGTTTTGTTTTGGTTTTTTTCCCCTCTAAAGAAAGTCTTCATCATTCCATTTTTCAGATTTTCTACTGAGGAAGTTATGCCTTTTTGTCCCTACTTGAATGACAAAGAGTCTGTGCCCAGCATGGGAATTTTTAACCCACCAAGAGAAACTGCCTTCCCCAATTCAAAATAACATAAAATTAGCTGGATGCAGTCTCAGATCCAAACACAGCAGGCTGGTGAGCATCCACAAACCTCAGCCTGGACGTGTTAACTGCGATTATTCAAGAGAAACTTTAGAAAAGTTTTGAAACGAAAATAAAGCTGGATCCAAACATGTTTTTACCATATTATTTTAGTAGGGGTTCCTATTGTTTCTTCCACAGGTGGCACCCGCAATAAATTTATGTGGTCAGGAGTAAGTATCTGGAGAGGCTGTGTGCCTCATCCTAAGAAAGAACTGAAAACTTCAGTAGTTTATTTTGAAGCTATTGCATGCTGAAGAATTCAGCTCAGCTGAAGTAACCTGAAAATATTTTGGAAAGGTTTCAGATTAGAAATTTTAAAGTAGTTAGCAATTTGTATTTTTTCCAAGTTCAGTCAGCCAAGAAATACAAATATTAATTGTAATAGATGGAAAAAATTCAAATGCGAAGTCAACACTAATGTCATGTTTCTGATTACTATACATTAACTGCGTTTTTCTCTGTGACCACCACAGTAAATTAACATCACTTATATTTCATGGATTAGAAGGAAAGAATCTCCACAGAAAATATTGAATGTTGACTCTACTATGCTGCATACACTATCTACCTTAAAAGGAAAACACTGATCAGATTTTATCAATGTACAAAACCCACAGGATGCTGAACACTGTAATAAAGATATGGCAAATTTACAACTATAAAATTCTCCCTAATGTCACCAATTACCTCTTCTTCAGCTTGATACATACTATACAATCATTCTAACATTGCACTGGAACTGTCCATCTGATAAATTCTTGTTTTGTTGTTGTACTGCTGTTTGCTTAATTTGTTTTTTAAAAAAACTGTACCAGCATTCATTTGCAGATGGATTCTATGAAACTAAATAATTAATGCCAAGTGTTTAAACACCAAAAGAAACACTGTTTATAGATTTATTTTAAAAAATAACTTATTAGTAGGAAGGAAGGAAAAGTCAGTGCCACACTTGGCAGGTATT